TGAGCAGCAAAGTAAATTGACAACAGCAGTTTCCAGGAAGAAGCAAGGCCAAGCTGATGATGCAGTACTACAGGGTGAGTGGATGAATGCCTGACCTAGAGTGATGACAGTTGCCAAGAGAGAGAGGAGGGTGAACCCGAGAACAGTTGCAGAGTCGTGTATCTGGTTGGTAAAACACGAAGGCCACCTTTTGCTGAACACGATTTGATCTTTCTTTGCCTAACAGTATCTGTGAATCATCACTCTGAATATTCTATTTTTATTGTAGGTATTCTAAATAACTGTGTAGAAATTAGAATTAAATGTACCTTGACTCTGGAATATTAACTAAAATTTGTAACAAGAATTAAATTCTTACCGTTTCCTTACTTGTCCTTTGTCCGTCTTTAAAAACGGAGTGCACGGTGCAAGGAGAAAAAAACAGTCATTCTTTGAACGAGAGTAACTCCAAGTCACACCTGCATCGTAAATTATGAAGTAATGAGGTTGATTTTCATAAGCCTAGGAGACTTAGTGTCTTAAAGCAAGTTCATGATGTGGTCAAGCATCTTGGAGGACCTTAGACGTTACTGGTATCAATTTCCTCATTTAACAGGTTAGGAGACTAAGATTCCAAGCAGTTAATATGTCGGTAATAGTAGTAAGACACTGAGGTTATTAAGTTCCTGTTGTGCATTTTAAGAGAACCTTTTAAAATGATGAGTGTATGAGAAATGAAAAGATTCTTATGAAGTTTCTAAGTTAATGGTAAAAAGGAAGAGATTGAAATGGTAGCCTTCAAGAAAGTATTTCTGTATATTAAAGTTATCTAGTTTTCCTACTACTACAATGTTTATGAATGATCTGAAAAATTGACAAGATCAGCGAATAGTTGGAAAATCAGTCGACTAGTTCTGAAACTCAATGTATTTTATATTTTGTGAATATTCATTTCCTGAAAAGGCTAGTATGTTTTCAAGCACAGATACATGTTTAGAGAAAGGACACATAGTCTTTAACCTTTCTAACACCTGTTGCATTTGAACAGATTGGTAACTGATTTCTGGAAGGGGTAATACATCACAAAATCTTATTAGTGTTTCAAGTGTCTGTTAAGGCAGGCTTCTACCATATGGTTTTGCAGAAAGTAGATTAACATACTTGAGAAATGAAAGTCATGGTGCAAAAAGGATTTAAGTAAATGTTGGAGCCTTCTTTAAGTGTAAAATAATATACCAGCAGAGAGAGAAAATTTAGTTAATGAGTAAACAGTTAAAAACATGGACATGTGTTTACTGTTGTGTTGAATAAAGTCTGCTTCATATTATCAAAACGAATCCTTTTTTCCCACTCTGTTACACAACTGATTTAATTTATTGCATAATAACTATTAATTGAGGCCTAAAATTTCAACTGCAAAGTAAGACAAGTAAAAACTATTTTAATGGTGTGAAAATTGAAGATAGAGGAGGTAAAGCATGACTGTGCTGTCTACTTGCTGATGGCTTTCTCGGATTATTGGGTAAGTTAGGCTTCTTTGCCTCTGTGGTGCCACATGACATTTGCCTTGCAGCCATCCATTCTGCAGATATTGAATTTCTTTTGAGTACTATTTTATACAATAAGCATCACTACACCTCTGGATCTTGATAGCATTACTACAGGAGGAGAAAGAGGCTTTGTGTTAGTAATTACCTAACATTGTCAGAAGCTGACTGCAGGCCTCTTTCTAGTGATAACAGAATAACCGCATAATGTAGCTTTATAGCACATGATTAATAGAAAATAATTACACATCCTACAAAGGGATGCAATATTTCTTAGAAATTGACTAGAATGGTTTCCTGTAGATTAAAGGACTCTTCATTATTTTATCAGTCCTCCTGAAGTACAGCCACTTGCCTATGTTAGCATTTCAGCCGATGTTAAGAGCTGAACAGGGTGAAGGATACCAGACAGCAGGCCTTCCAGAACCTGAGGTCCCGTGTGCCATGATGACGTTATGCTTCCTAGCCTTTCGAAGATTTAGATGGCAGCCTGCTATGGTTTTGTCTGTTTATTTTTTGTTTACTAACAATATAAGGTTTGAGGTGTTTTTTTCCTTTAATGACTGACCTGTGACTTTTAGAACAGTACTATAATTAGAATGTGGACCGCAAGACAACATTGTATGGGCTGCATTCTTTTTCACTGTAAGTAATATATCATTCATAATCACATTTGTTTGGGGCGGCAAACAGCGAAGGCAAAGAGGGCAGATTTTCTTCTTCAAAGGAACCTTGCATGTGTTGCACCTCCAGGCTGAAGTTTAGAATACTCTACTCCAGGAAGCATCTTCATTCCAATTTACAGCTCTGAATGGTTTAATTGGGGTTCATGTTGCTCAGGAGGCTCATCCCAAGGATGGTAACGATAAAAGTAAAAGCTTGTGTGTTTGCAGTCTTGTCGACACACTCTAATGACCACAGTGTCAATCCATAAATTTGCCTGCTATATTTTTACCTCACTGTATTTTATCTTATCTCTTAATTTCACACAGGAGTATTATATGGAATTCTGTACAAATGTAAAGTAATAAACATTCTGGTTTTTATCTTTATCCTTTTCTGATTGAAGCCTGTGATATTTTAGAGTAGTTTTATGAGGTATTTCATATGCTTTTCAATTGTTTTAAATTAAGTGAAACATTTAAGATTATTTCAGCCTAAAACTTAATTTTTTCCTGAAATGTCACATTTAAGGGATTTGTTTGCAGCTGAATAAGCTCCTCCCTGCTGTTTACCACTGCCTTTTGTAGTTAATGGGCCTCCCTGGTTACCTGCAGAATTCTTTGAAGTGTGAAGTTTGTCCTTAGTCCTTTGGTGAAAAGATTTGTTGGAAATCAATTTCTCAAATTTGGATGTGAGTGAGCTTTTTGAGAACAACAATGTGCCTATAATTGGGAATACAGATAATAACTGAAACAGAATATTGTAAAGTGATAGAAACTTTCTGATTTGTAATTTGAATCTATAAACATTGAAACCCAGGTTGAGGGCTATTTCTGAAAGCAGATTGGAGTCATAATACACCCCCTCACTGAATGTGTTCTGTGTCTGCTCTTTGGGGCTCTAGTCCCCTTAACTCCTTGCAAATAATCAGGCTTTAAAATCAGGCTTTAAATTAGGTTGGCAGTGAGTAAGAGCTTTCACATTCAGTTCTTAACTCAGACCTGTTAACTATCCTTTTTGAAATCTTGCAATGTAGGCCGTTGGCCTCTGGAAGGTTAAATACATTTGTTTTGTTAAGCATTAGATTCTAATCATATTCATTGCCTTAAAAATTGAAAAGGGCAGTTTTATTAGGTACCTAGTAGGATATAATAGTTGCTAATCATAACTTTCAGGAAGTTGGCATTTTCTACTGATAAATATATCCTGTGCAGTTTTCCACTAAATTCACACTGTCAGTGAACTGTTACATCTAAAATCTTAAATCCTCTGCCTCAGAGGCCAGAGCTGTGCCCTCATTAGAATAAGAAAGTGCAGGATTAACCTTTTCCTGCCACCATATTCTTCCAATAACCCTAATTCTGATACATCCCACTGTTAAAAAGGATAGATTTTAATCCCATAATCTCTCTATTGATGGACTGCTTATCAATACCCACATGCTAATGTTGCTACATTTGTATGAAAGAATTGTTTGATTTTTCTTTTCCTATGGTCAGTAGCATACTAATCAATACAAATGTTAAGTTTGTGCCAGTGCTAAACATTCCCTTCCTGCATGTAACTCAATATGCATATGCACATTTATCTGTGACTCCGATGCTGGAAAATCATAGCCTATTGAATTACTTTTGGGAGGGATTTAAAAAATTTATCTTACATGAAGAATTGAATTTGGGCCCTACAATTTGTTTTTGCAGAGTATTGCTTTTGGATGATGTTATTTTTGAAACTTGTAATTCATTTTACTTTGTTTGTATCTAACTAAACATAAATAAATTTGAGATACAAATATATTAGTCAATCTGGCAGACGTATGAGCCTGGTTTGTGATGCCTGAAGCTGTGGTGTATCTGTCAGAGGAGGCGGGGGTTGGGGGGCAGGAATGGAGGTGCAGGTGTACCTCACATTGCAAAGAAAATGCAAAAATGATGTACCAATTGCCATTTTTCACAGCTAGTTTTGCCGTTCAGCTTTATAACTGGAGATACTTTTAGTTCCTATTGATCTTCCACTGGAAGGGTGAATCTAACACCACCTTTGAATTCCTTCCAACCATCCTTTAGCTAATATAGTTTATGATCAATAAAAGGAACAATAAATGCCTTAGGGAAGGTTTTTAAAAGGAGCATTTAAAAAAATTTGGGGTGTTAATAGTGTTTTTTGTATTCTCTCTTTTATCTGTTTAAAATGTCTATACTCATATGTTAGATTTTCTTAGGGCAGGCAGATCTCTTGCATTCTAAGTCATTTTTGGTCATCTGAGTTTAACTAGGAATTAGTTCATTGTGAAAAATAACCTATCTGCTAGATGATAAGCTTCTTGAAGGCAAAGATAGTATCCTTGAGATCCGGGCTGTAACCTGGTATCCTCTGTGCCTGGTGTTTGCCCAGGCGCTGTGGCACTCTGTGTGTGTGTGTGTGTGTGTGTGTGTGTCAGAGAGAGAGAGAAAGGGACAGGACAGAGGAGGGTGTGGGAGGGAGAGAAAGAAAGAGAGAATAATAGGGCAAGAGTCCCACAGAGCCTACTTCCTCATGCAGTTTCCTTTGCTAGGTTCTTAGCCTTAGTGACTGCTTCTGTGTTCTACACCAAATAATAAACAGGTTTTGTCTTACATGGTAATTTAGATATTTGCCTAGCAGCATTTTTAAAGTGTCCAGAAACAAAAAAAAAAGATTAAAATGTTTCACTTTGCAGTTCAAGCTCTTGTAACTTTTACAAAAAGAAATAACATTTCTAAGAAGTTGCATACAAACGATACTGTACTTACACCAGTCTAAAGGTTAATATTGCATATTGTTTTCAATTAGGAATACAATAGATATGGCTGGTGGGTAGGAGAAATGAAAGGAGCCGTTGGCTTGGTGCCGAAAGCCTACATAATGGAGATGTATGATATTTGAGAGTCCTGGGTAAGTACATTTTAATCCAATATTCTATAATAGCTCATATGTTCTCTTGGTCTGTGTGTTATGAGTCTTTGCCTTTTTACAAGCCTTTGTAGTTTTCTGATAGCACAAAGATTATGATCCTAAATCATCTTTTTCTTCTTTTTTTAAAACCTGGTTTAATTTTTAAAATAACTTCATAGAATTTATTTTGGAAATTAGCAGACTATTTAAGGAAAGTCCCTTTGAAAATAACCAGCTGTTTTCCCAGACCTTCTCCTCATTAGTAAAATACCACTTTTATGGCCTTTCAGAAGAGCTGAAATAACAAAATGTTGAATAAACATTCATTTTTATTTGGCTAAAAATGTAATTTTTTTCTAAGCAGGAAAAATAATCAACATTTCAACGGAAGAAAAATTAAGATGCAACTTTCCCTTTCTGCCTGCAGAAAAGGAAGATTCTTATGCTAGTCTGCAAATACTCTGGATTTATAATGATTTTGAATGCGTGAGTGACAGCTCACAGCTTTTGTTGAACATCGTTTGTCTTTGTTATTTTATGTATTCGTTACAATATTCCTCTGATGTGAATTAAATAAAGGATAGTAATGTTAATCAGATACAAGCATGAAGTTATACCTGTTGCTATTTTTCAAAGAAATAATTGTTTTTATTTAGTCATTTGATTTGTGTGAAGGAGTCAGCACTGTGGGCACTGCTACTACAGGATGAGTTGTATTTCCCTTAATATTAGATGTCAGTTATTTTTTAGACTGTATATATAATTTCATGGAAATTTTAATTGAATATATCATGAAAGTTTTTGGTAGATGCTATCATAAGAATGTTGCTTTGTTAAAATTCTATGAGTGATTTGGTATTTATATTTCACAAAATGTTTTCATGAAAGAATTTTTACCAATTGGCAAATTTGGCTTATGTTAAATATAGCCACAAGAAAACGCAGTGATAGAATTACAAATAGTAGTGTACTGTCACCATCATAACAAATGTGTAGACCAGAACCCTGGTTTGTGCAAAGCCCTTATCAATACCAAATATCCTGGTTAGATGATGGGCTTACCAATGTCTTCTGCCATAGTTTTGTGTAAATTTAATAAAACAACAAATTCATAAGAAATCCCATTCTGCATAATATAATGCCATAAAGAATCTCAGTATACTCTCAAAGTAAGAAGGAAAAATAACATTCTCTCATCCTGTCCAATCATTGCTGTGCTTTTGAAGACCAGCCACACAGCAGTACAACTCCAGATCTGAGTGTCCTTTACCCTCCTCAGAGCAATGAAAAGAAAAGGAAGGCTCAGAGAGGAGCGTGTAGAAATCAAGGTGGGAACATGAGCCAGCAGGAGAGTGGAAGGGTAGCCAGAGGCTGGCCTCGGAGGCATACATTGTACTGCCTGAGCGGGCTGTGTGCGATTATGTCATAACATTTTCATGTATATTTGAGGTCAAAGGTATTTGAATGCCTACAAGGTATTAGTATGGCTTAATATATAATATATATATATATATATATATATATATATATATACCAAAATGTACTGCTGGTTGGATAACTATTTGGAGTAAATATTATTTCCTAGTGTTGAATCATTCTTTAGTAGGTACCTTTGCTGAACTTTATCAGATTTTTGCTTTATAGAGATTCTAACCAGGCAAATAAGCTGATAGTATTTTAAAACCTCCATTATTTATATAAAACTATTTACAAGCAACATTTCACAGTTTACATTTTACCGTTATTCCTTCAGTATTGCAATCATCTGATACCAAATGTAAGAAGGTACACATATTAATTTTAGAGATTAGGTTAACTGTACTAATTAGACATTGTCAAGGTAAAACTTTGGGGAATTAATTTGTGTACTTGTTAATTTTTCCCTAGTATAGAGCTATTGGAATAGATTGAAATCATCTTGGCAAAAGTGAGACAACTGGAGATGAATTTAGTGGCATGGTTTTCAAAGCCTGAGATACTGGAAAGCAAAAGCGGTTGTGGGTTTCCACTGAAAACGTACACTTGCCTGTGGATACTTCTTGTGCTTCCGGGCTAAGTGAAGCTTTTAGTCCTGGGCCAGGAGATGGCAGCAGCCTCTCATTGCAGATGAGACCACTTGGAAACCCCTCCCCCACGCCGGTGCAAAGTCACCCAGAATGTAAAGCATTTGACGATTTTTACTTCCTTTTACAGTTAATCCAGGAGAGGGAGTCCTTAGCCAATTGATGACCAGCAATTCCAAGCCAGATAGTCTCTCTACCAACAGTGACAGTACAGAAATAAAGTGTTAGTTCTGTCCAGAGCTCCACTGGCCTTTGTTCTCTTTTAACTTGAGTAAGTGGAAGATAAGAAAGGAAACAAAAGGTTTAAAATTGGTATGGCAGCAAAAATAATCATTACTTTCAATTCATGTCTACTCTATACTCATTTGGTGAAAGCATTTGTATACTACCAGGGAGAAAGTTTTCTTTACACCCTTGACAATAAATATATCACACGCTCTTCAAAATCATAATATCATTAATGTGAATTTAAACAACATGGCTTGTTAGAAAATATGCTAATTGTGATATTCTCATTATGTTTGCTTAGCTTTTATTTGTTTTTCTATGAACAGTTAGAGAGCTAATTTTTTTCAAAGGTGATTGTAAGTCATATTTTATATAGCATTTTGCTTGATTATTTGCTCTGTACTAAATTTGTACTCTATTGCCATTAGATCTTACAATAATGTTCCACTCTGCAAATTTTTAAGGTTCAAATAAAGTTTAATTGTTTGCAAACTGTTATGATACTAATAATTCAACAGCCTGCTGTGTTACTAATGAAATTACTTTGTTATGATTAATTTGGAAAATAGTGTGTTGATTGTAGTAATTAAGCACAACAAGGTGAAGTAAATGATTCTAATGCCATCTGGCCTCCAAACTGAATGAAGAAATGAAACAAGGCTGTCATCTGAATTTATTCAAAGAAGTAAGGATAATACAAATGATTTTCATTGCTAAAGGATTTACACTTAACCACAGCTCACACCATTCTGTTTTTGCCACTTTGTTGCATATGACACTTCTTTTATGAAAAAGAATGTTTAGCCTAGTAATTGTTTCAAATACTTTATTATATTATTTTAAGTTGATTATTTTTACCTTGTGCTAATTTAATTACAGATAATTACATAAAGTATCATAGGATCATAGAAAATCACTTTTCAACCATCTGTAGGTAAAATCTATGTATGTGGATTTTTAAAATTTTACTATTCATGTGCAAACATGTTGAATATAGCCTTTCATAAAGATTAGAGATTTCATTTAATTGTTTCTAAAATGTTTCCAGTCAAGACCATCCCATCATTCTTATGATTCATACTTTTCCTATAATTTCTCCAGTCTAATCTATTGCTACTCACTTCATAGAGTCTGGTACCTTCTTGGGTCATGATACCCAGAACCCAGAACTGAGTTATATGTTAGAGATCCATACTTATAGTTCATCCACTGTAAGAAAACTGATCTATTAACATAGGTGTAATTTATAAGCTTGAACTTCATCAATGAGACTGAGTGAAGTATTGTGAGAATTTTTAAATCAAGCACTTCTGAATTTCAGATAAATCAATCATTTGTATTTCAATTGTTGAATAGTATTATAGACACAAAATACAGAGATCACTTTTACTTCTCTTAAGTTAAAAAATAGATTCACAAATATTGAAAAGCAATCCACATGGTAAAGAAGGTGGTGGGGATTAAAACAAGATCAATTTATCTAAGACAAAACTTCACTCAGAGATGAAAGGAATATAATTAATGTACATAGCATAAAAACATGGGTTAAAATGGCTTAGTTTATCAGTAGAGTCCTGAGTATTCCAAAATACAGAGAAACAAATAAGTAGTTTATTATTAAGGTATCTTTCTACAAAATGAAGCTACACTCAAATGCATAACTTAAACAGTTAATCCTTTAGACTAGAAACAAGGAATTTCTGGGCATCCTCAGCTTCTGCCAGCATAGCCGTCAACTGCCTCTGTAGTTGAGTTCTTTGTGAATACACATTAGAACCCCTGATACTGTACCATTTTCTGTGATCAGATAAATACTTATAAAATTATATGCTCACAGTAACATGGAATGGCATTTTATTAACAGGATATTTGAGGGGCTTTTTTTTTTTTTTTTTTTTTTTTTTTCCATAGTAGCATCTACTCTGTCATTACTTGGACACAAACATAGCCAGTGTGGTACTTCAGAGTATATGGTGTGTATCCAGTGAATATTTGTTAATTGACTGATTTGTCACCCCACAGTATCTCAAGACCTGAGATTTAATAAGAAAAGAGCTTGACTTCTTCAACTAGTAGAGAAAATGTCATTATCAATTAGTATGTGAGCTTTCTGACTGACAGCATTCTGTAAGTCAAAAAATCAGTGCCTTTCACTAAGTCTTTAAAAGCAGCCTCACTGTCCCCATAATACCATCAACAAGTGGAGTGGATTTGGTCGTTGGTAACAGTGTGATTCCGTGTGAGGGTGATTCCGTGAACAAGAAAGCTGAGTGTGGTGGCTAGTCTCCCAGTGTCCTCCCCTTCCTTACCTGTGCTCAGTGTTACCACTCTAAGACGTCACAGTGACCCAGGCAGCTTGGGGCAAGTGATCTAGTTTCACTTTCCAGTACATTCCAAATAGCTGCTGCCTTGGATTCCACCTGGGCAGTGTCAGAGATGCCTTCTGATCTTGGAAACATTCCAGCTGTTGCCTAGAATGGATCAAAAAGGAACTTCTGGAAGTTTCACAGTTATTGCCAAATCCAACCATATTTCAATTATTTTTAGAAAGCCTTTACTCCCTTTATTTTTAAAGTTGTATGATTATTCAAGTTGAATGCTTTGAGTCCCTAAGACAAAAGGAACCATAAATACAGAAGGCAGCCCTAGTCATAGCAGTGCTCAGCTTAGGCCTGTGATGTTGAGAAAGGGGTCAGAAGCTGGACAAAAAAAAAACCTTGCGAATGTATACAAAGGTGTGAAAAATAGAAATTGCCTCCAAAGCCTATTTCTTAAGTGCTTTTTTTAACATTGGAACCTGGGTGAGTGTTTCTCTGTCCTCTGTTTTCTTTTTTATTATCCACTTCTCAGGTAATATAGAATAGCATTTGTCTGTTTTCTGTTTATTGGCCTCAACTTTGTAATATAAAAGTATTACTCCTCCTAGAGGAAAAGTAGGTGCCATTTTTTAGCTTGAGCAGCAGTTCACCTCTTGTTTGAGCAAAGTGTCACACAGGTACTCTCAAAGGAGAAAATTAATGACACCAACTTGTGCCAATTAAAAATGACTGCTTTAGAGCAGGAGAAAATTCCAGCAAATGAGCAGATCCCCATACATTGTCTCCCCTCCCTGCCCCCATGGGAGTCCATTTAGCAAACCTCGAGTTCTTTAACTATCATGTCAAAGTGATGATAACAGTTTACCTAAGACTAGGAATAGCAATAGCTAGCATTACTGGAGTGTTTACTGTTCTTCATGCTGTGCACTTTCCATTCAGTCCTTCTAACAACCTTTGAAGTAAGTTCTGTTGTATAATTCCATTTCCCTGATGAGGAAACTGATGATAATTTGTCCTAAGTAAGTTTCCCAGCCTCCCTCCCTTGAATTCTGCAACATTCTGCTTCCCACTATTGTGACAAATTCAAAAGAAATACCTAATTCTCTTCTTTGCACATAGGAGGCACTCAATAAAAGCTTTGTTGACCACTGATGATGACAGCATTCTTATAAAATAAGCTGGAGCATGTGAAAAAGAATAGTTCAAGAGTTGACAACTGAACAGCTGAATTGACCTCGTTTAGTAGTTAAAGACCCTGGTGACCATATCAAATCTGAAGCAGTTAATCCACAACGAATAAGAAACTTTAATACAGGAGCATTTCTACCCATGAACTCCCAGTCTGCTGAAAATGGGAAGCTAGTCGAGGCAGCAGGGAGTCCAGAGAGGACACCACGCCAAAGGGACCCTTTTCGAACTAACTTTTCCCATCCTCTCCACCTCTTCAAAAGTCAAACCAAAAAAAACTGAGCAGCTGAAAAGCCTTGGCTAGGACCTTAAAGCTGGCTGCTTCTGTCTCATGTAGTTTTCAATTAGCTTTGCAAGGGGTAAGGAGGTATAGGGTTTAAACTGAAGGTTGTAGTTTTTTTTTACCAGTTGAAAGGATTTTTATTAAACTGTTCAGCCCTTCTTAATCGATTAGCAAACTTCATTAGAAAACTTGTATAATTTTTTAACTAAGTGATGGCATAAAACTTCCACTTGTTGAGATATGAATTCATTTAAGGAGAACTCTTACTGGAATACCTGGCACTTAAGGACAAGGTCGTATTTCTTGGGCACCTATGTGGTGCCTTGTACAGGGCTCCATAAAGAAAGCCTTCTGTTGTGGTTTTGAGCAAATTATTTTTTAAAATCCTTTTGTACCTTAGTGATTGGAGGCTAGGCTGGTGGGGGTGGGGGTA